TGTGTGTGTGTGTGTGTATGCGTCTGTGTGTGTGTGTGTGTATGCGTGTGTGTGTGTGTGTGCATGCGTCTGTGTGTATGTGTATGTGTGCGTGTGTAGGTGGCTGTTTAGGCTGATCAGTGTCCAGATGCTTCTGCTGCAAATAGGACAGAATATCACAGGCAACAGCTTTTTAGATGATTTGCTGCTTCATGGTTCTCTCTCCTTGCATTATCCCTCTGCTTCTGATATGCACTCACTTTTGAGGAGGCCACAACGTTTTGTTTTTTTGTCTGTGCAGGAGCAGTGATCTTGGATAGGCCTCTCCAGGACTCGATGTCTGTATCTAAGTGAAGTCCTCAGGCTTTCCGTGTACAGGTTCCTTTGACCATTGAGAGAGTGCACCTACATTTGAGCTCTCTATGCAAGATTGGTTTCGATAAGCCAGTGTCAGTCATTCTGGCTGGATGACTGGTCCAACTCAGTTGTGGCTTTCCTGATGTCCTGTGGATGTTTGGCAGGCCAGCTCGAGCGAGTTCCTCAGTGCTTGGCATTTTGTCCTGAGCATCTCATCTTTGGACGCTTCTGAGGAAGAAAGCATGAAAATGATTGATCTTTAGAGCATGAGAGCTTGCTTCGCTGTACCATCAATTCAGAATGATGAATTTCTCAGGATAGTCAAATTTAACGATTTAAAAACAGAAATTTCCAGAGAAACTCAGCAGGTCTGGCAGGATCTGTGAAGAGAAAGCAGAGTTATTGTATTGAGCTCAGTGACCCTCCTTCAGAACAAATTTATCAAGTAACTTCCAAAGGCCCTCCCGGCTAACCGACTGTTTCAAAGACCTTGATCAGAACAATTAAGAAGATTTTGAGGTCCATGTCCTGTTTTGGGTATTGACTTTGCCCGTCCATCTAGAATTTGAATCATTGAGCAGATTGACCCATTGGCAGGAAGGATTGCAGAGCATTATAGAATCTTTTTTAGTGTCTCTCTCTCTCTCTCCCAGCATACATTAGAGAGCCCAGGGATACTGCTGCACTGTTATGATTCACAGGATATTTGGTGTAGCTTAGAAAGCAAATGAGCCACCTATTTTTCAGTCTTGGTAGATTCTTTTCTTAGGGCTTGATATAATTGATCCCAAAACGAATTCTTGAGTGAGTTTCAAAAGGTCTAGAACCACTTAGCAGGGAGTTATGTGCACGTTTTGACTGACCGTTTTAAGAAGTCATTAAAGATTATGTAGCTAAAGGGATTTTATTTTATAGCAGGTGACAACTTGAGCGGTTTTACCCTTTTTGAATGGATTCTACAAATGGGTTTTTCTGAGTATGAGTGAGAGCTATAATAAATAGTTATGTTTATTTCTTTTATCTCCATTTCAAAGACATGGCTCCTGAGAGTCTGGCCACAGTGGATAGTGGGTGAATGGGTTTGGAGGATACATGAGTCCATGGAAGAAGGATGGAGGCGATGTGACGCATGGGAATTATGAGGAAGCATGGGGTAAATGGGGGAATTAAAGCATGAATGGGGCAGTGGGCAGGAATGACATGATGGGATATTGAGGTTTTGAGGGTCTGACATTCATTAATGAAACTGAAAACAACAAATGCTGGAGATGACAGCAGGTCAGACTGCATCCATGGAGAGAGAGCAAGCTAAGTTTTGAGACTAGATTACTCTTCATCAGAGCACTTGATTTGCTCCTACACTAATAAAACTGTGCTGATTATCCTTGTAAACTGAGTTGGGCATTTGAGCTGGCTTGATCATCCACCCACATCCATTGCTGCCTCAGACCTACCTCTGGAGGTGACGGTCCACCTGTCTCCTCTATGAAACTCTATCCTGTTCTTTCTGTATCCACTCAATCAAAACCTTTCATAGTTTTAAAGATCTTCTTAGGCCTATAGCATTGTTTTCTGGTTTCAGCTTTGAAACTCTTCTCTGCTTCCACTACAGTGGCTCTATATCTTATTTTTAAATATAGTGAGTAGAAAAGGATATAGAACTTAAGCATGGCCTAACCAAATTGGCAACCCTCATATAACTATGAACTGTATGTCTAGTTAGGGCCCAGTAATAAATTGAAACCGATTTAATCAAAAGGTGAAATTTTCAACCCACTTACTTAACTAGAAAGTGGCCTCTTTTGATTTTTGTGTCTATACAAATGGCTGTAATAGGACAGAAATTGAGTATTACTGGAAAATGACACACTTTTGTTGAAGCCTATTCATCTTGCACCTATCAGGATGATTTGCAAGAATACCAAAGTAAAGGGAACCTGACATTTATAATCTATTGAGAGGTGATTGTTGATTGGTTGGCAAATGGACTTTGATTGGTAAAGATGTTGCCATGGGCAATGAACCAGTTAGAAGAACAAAAAGAAAAGCTTTGACAAAATGTGTTTCTTTTTTAGCATTCCTTAAGTTTGTAGATATTTTGATCTTTACATTTCGAACCCCGAACTTTGGAGCATATATTGATGGTAAACATAAATGTATTGGATGGAATCCAAGCAGAGTGTATTTGTGTACCTCTGGGAATGAAATTCTGAATCAGGTATTGAATTCCCTATTTTCCTTGGTGAATGAGTATTTTCCAAAGATGGAGTCACTTAAGGGGACATTCTAAATATAATGCTTCCAGGAAATCATGACAAGTTGAAAGAGCTCAGACTGGCCAGATTAATTCTATGATGTTTCTAATTATGTGTTTACTACCCCTACTCTCTCCATCCTGCCCCACTCATCTAGACTTCTATGTGAAGGCAATAATGGAAACCAGAGATGGGCTGTTTGATAAGAAGAAGACTCGGCCTCTGAAAGCTGTGAATGGCCATGTGAAATGGGGAGAAACATTCCTATTTCCTGTTATTCAGAATGAGCTCCAACTCCAGAGAGTCACTTTCAACTTGAAGCTTTACAGTCGCAGTTCCGTAAGAAGAAAACACTTCTTGGGGCAGGTAATGCCAGCTGATTCGCTCCCATTGGTAATATTATATGAGTGAGAAGTGAGTCTATTTTGAGACATTGTTACAAACTCCGTTTCCATCAAAACATTAATTATCCAGCTTGCAATTTACCCACTGACCTTTACGTCTTTTCTTCCATTTTTACACATTCTATTGTTTGAGGAGCTGAGAGAAGAGGTGATAGAAAATGTTCACAGACAGATCCTTTCTAAGGCCACTCCAATGACCCTTGTGATCTTTTGACTAAGACAAAGGAAGCCCATTTGTAGATATACCGGAATGAGCCAACAAATCCACATCTCTAAATAAAAATGGATAATTATAGTGCAGAAGAAGGGTACTTGGCGCTCTGTGCGTTATGACTTATTGCCAATCTTCTATCTTTTCCCTGTACATCTGCAAATTGTTTCTATTCAAATCCTCATCAATACCGTCTTGAAGGCTTTTACTGAATGTGGCTCCATTACATTTCTAGGCAGTGCATTCCATATCCTAACTACTCTCTGTGTGAAAACATTTTTCTGACATTACATCTTCTACCTTTGAAAATCACTTTACATCTGTGCCCTCTTTTTTTTTTTTAAAAAATCCTTTTATGAGTGGATCCACTTTGTCCAGCCCTTCATGATTTTGGGAACTGCTATCAAATGTCTTCATCTTCTCCTCTCCAAAATCCTGACCACTTCAAAGTTTCTTATTTCAGGAACCATGTTTGTGAATCTCTTCCAAAGTGTTCACATCTTTTCCGAAGCATGGCACCCAGAATTGTATCCAAAATTCCAGCTGAAGTCTAACCAGGGTCTTGTACTATTTCAATATGATCTCCTTGCTCTTTTACTCAATGCTTCTATGAATAAAGCCGAGAGTGCTGTGTGTTTTATTAACTGATCTCTCCATCTGTCCTGCCCTGTGCACGTATATACCAAGGTCTCTCTTCTCTTGCACACCCCTATTTTATATTGTCTTTCAATGTTCTTCTGACCAAATTGCATCCTGCCACACTTCTCTGCATTGAGCCTCAGCTGCCACAGATGCATCAACTTGTCAATGTTCTTTCAGAGTTCCACACTGTTGTTGGTTTACAGCTCTTCCGAGTTTAATGTCTGCAACCTTGAAATTGTCCCCTGTACACCACTGCCACTGCAGTTAATAAGATCATATATCATAGAATACCTACAGTGTCAGGAGGAAAATTCTCCACTGTTTGGAGTCATACCCAGCGCAAGTGAAATTAGTTACAGTTGCTGGAGGTCAGTCATCTCAGCTACAGGACATCACCCAGGAGGGTGTCCTCAGCCTTATCATTTTCAGTTGCTTCTTCAATGGCCATCATAAGGTCAGGAATGGGGATGTTTGCTGATAACTGCACAATGTTCAGCGGCTTTCGCAACTCCTCAGATGCTGGAAGAATCTATGCTCAAATGCAGCAGGACAGTGATAACATTCCTGCTTGGGCATGCCAACAAGAGAAAAGCTAACTATATCTCCCATGACGTTCAATGGCATTACCACTTCCTATGTGGTAGCCAGTGGCTGAAAGTTACTGGCCACTCACATACAAGAAAACAGGAGGATGGAGCTGCACTGTGCCCGTGACCAATCCCCACCCCCGACCACTTGCTCCTTGCCACTGTCTTACAGGATGAAATTCTGAATCGGGCATTGAACTCCAGGATGGGTGCCTACCCGTGGCCCAATGAAGGCCCTTCAGTAGGCAACTAATGCCCAATTAAGAGCCTCGTCCCACTGCAGCTCTAATTCAAAGGGTGATTGTGTTGGCCTGTGACCAACTTGTAACCTGGCAGGTTTGACCGTGCTGTCTGCAGATCAGTGAGAGGGAGTTGTTGTGGGAAGGTCATTGGGTTCTCCTCCCAACACCTCCTCCCATCCACCCTCCCACTCTGCCTTGTCCTACCTGTGCCCGCTGCCCTCCTTGCCAGAGCTTGTCAATGTTGTCACAACAAGATCCCAGACTTTATTGGGTTTGAGAGTATCCATGGCTCCATTTTCCCCCCAGGCCTCCTGCAACGTGAGCAGCAGCCATCAATCCCAGTGTGGTGCAGAGTAGCTGGCCTCTGACTGGCAAATCCACAAGGTGGACTTCCTCCCAGACAACAATGAGATGCATCTGCCATAACTAAACAGCCGTTGCCTGAAAAAGTCAAGGGGAGATGGGCTTGTCCCCAAAATTTTCTTTGAGGTATGGGGAGCTTCCCCTTAGTGCAGTGCTAGCTGCTTAAATCACTGAAAATCTCACTGCTAACATTGTCCTAACAACTCTCCATTAATCCTCCCAGTGTCAACCTATGAAGCAAATCCAGTCTGTCAAATAATTAATTCCAGAAGGAAATATTTTAATGACTATCTTTCTTTACGTAGGGCGGGCAAATTGATCTCTCACTGACGTCATTGATCTTTTTCCTGCAGGGTTTGGCTTTTGCTGTGTATGTGTAACACTGAACCTCACCCTTGTTTTAACCTATCCTCTGTACGTAAACAGACCAGGTCCTTTGATAGTTATGTAACAGAAAAGGAACACCTTTAATTTAGGGTTTCTGTTCTTTGCCCGGTGGCATCTGATTGAAATCTTTCTTTACAGCTTCAACTGAAGACTGTTTAGGGTGTGAAGACATATTTTGTAGGGTGGGAGACCCATTATTTTTAAATCACACTGTCTCACTGGAATCCATTCCATTCAATTCAATAAGAGCCCTGAATGATTGCTTTCCATTGTAAACCCAAGATCGATGTCCTTTTAAGCTCTATTGTAGTCAGGCTTGAAACACAGTATCTTTCAAGCTTCTCCCCAGTTCTTTATTTAACAACAAAGGGAGCATTCATTACAGCTTCACTTGAGTAGGTGGCACTCACTTTAACACATTATCCATTACTATCCTGCAGGTAGAATCTTCACTCAGTGGATGGTGGCAAATGTCAACCATATCATTTTCACTGCCTTACTTTAATCCATTTTTTGCTTAGTGTTTCTAAAGCTCATGTTCTGCTCGGGTATCTTTGTAGGCTAACACTTTGCAGGTTACTGCACAAATAAACTTTTATCTTGAAAGTGTATGCATTCAGAGCTCTCAAAATTGCATCAACCTCTCTGTGCATGCTCCCAGGTTTTGAGAAATTGTATTCAAGAGTTGTATTCAAGTTGGGACTCTGATGCTCTGGATAAATGAAGTTCACAACCTGATACTTGTGGGGAACAAACACCCAGCAGTGATTAACCCTGAGATGGTTAATTAGCAGCCTGATGTTTGCCATCTATTCAGATGGGTGAGCAAATACTCAGTCACACAGCATGGAAACAGACCCTTCGGTACCAGTCCATGCCTACCATGTTCCAAACTAAACTAGTCTGCGCTTGGCCCATATCCCTCTAGATCTTTCTACTCATGAACTTATCCAAATATCTTTTAAACATTGTAACCATACTTGCATCCACCACTTTCTTTGGGTGTTCATTCCACACACGAACCACTCTGTGTAAAAGAAGTTGTCCCTCATATCCGTTTTTAACTTTCTCCTCTCACCTTAAAAATACGCCCCCTAGTTATGAACTCCCCCACCCAAACTGTTCAGTAAAAGTGAATACACCTCCTAGAATACACCTCCTCCCACCCACCTTCCTGCAAAAATGCCATCCCCTATTCCCAATTCCTTCGCCTCCGCTGCATCTGCTCCCAAAAAGAGGCATTCCCCTCCCAAACATCTCAGCTGTCCTCGTTTTTCAAGGACCGCAACCTCCCCCCACTCAGTGGTCGAGAACGCCCTCGACCGTGTCTCCCGCATTTTCCACAACTCATCCCTCACACACCCTCCCTGCAATAACAACCAAAACAGAATCCCCCTCGTCCTCACGTACCACCCCACCAACCTCCGGATCCAATGCATCATCCTCCGACACTTCCGCTATCTGCAATCCGACCCCACCACCAAAGACGTATTTCCCTCCCCACCCTTATCTGCTTTCCGGAGGGACCACTCTCTCCGTGACTCCCTTGTCCACTCCACACTCCCCACCAGCCCCACCCACCCCCAGCACTTTTCCCTGCAACCGCAGGAAGTGCTACACCTGCCCCTACACCTCCCCACTCACCCCCATCCCAGGCCCCAAAAATACCTTCCACATCAAGCAGATGTTCACCTGCACATCTGCTAATGTGGTAAACTGTATCCGCTGTTCCAGATGTGGCCTCCTCTACATTGGGGAAACCAAGCGGAGGCTTGTGGACCGCTTTGCGGAACACCTACGCTCAGTTTGCAACAAACAACTGCACCTCCCAGTCGCGAACCATTTCAACTCCCCCTCCCACTCCTTAGACGACATGTCCATCCTGGGCCTCCCGCAGTGCCACAACGATGCCACCCGAAGGTTGCAGGAACAGTACCTCATATTTCGCTTGGGAACCCTGCAGCCCAATGGTGTCAATGTGGACTTCACAAGCTTCAACATCTCCCCTCCCTCAACCGCATCCCAAAACCAGCCCAGCTTGTCCCCGCCTCCCTAACCTGTCCTTCCGCCCACCTATCCCCTCCTCCCACCTCAAGCCCCACCCCAATCTCCTACCTACTTGCCTCATCCCGCCCCCTTGACCTGTCCGTCCTCCCTGGACTGACCTATCTCCTTCCTCACTCCCCACCTACACTCACCTTTACTGGCTCCACCCCCACCTCTTTGACCTGTCTGTCTCCTCTCCACCTATCTTCTCCTTAATCCATCTCTTATCCACCTCCCCCTCTGTCCCTATTTATTTCAGAATCCCCTTCCCTTCCCCCATTTCTGAAGAAGGGTCTCGGCCCGAAACGTCAGCTTTCCTGCTCCTCTGATGCTGCTTGTCCTGCTGTATTCATCCAGCTGTACACCTTGTTATCTCGCTTAAAATAACAGTAAGATTTTGCAATATTTCTAAAGAAACAGACAGGGGAGAAAATATGTCTGTTTCTTTGGACTTGATGAGGGTATTGAGAGAAGCCAAGCAAATAATAATCTACAGAGATGACTAATAGCAATAAGTAGGTTTGAAACTGTTTCAATCACCTCCTCAGAGGAAATGCCTGGGCTGGGTATTAAAGGGACAGATAGGTTTTCAAGAGTCTCATAAGGGAGGAGAGAGACCGAGAGGTTTAAGGTGGGCATTCTAGAACTTGGGTCAAGGAAGCTGAAGGCATGGCCAACAATGTTTGGTCCTACAAGTAAGGGAGAGAAAATACAAGTATAGAATTCCAGTTAAGTGAAAGGAACACTTCCCATTTATATAGCACTTACAAAATTGCCAGATACCTCAAAGTGATTTACAGACAATGAGGAACTTCTGAAATATAATCCCTGTTGTAAAGCGGGAAATGAGGCAGTCAATTTTGTGCAAAGCAAGCTCCCAAATACATTAATGTCATAATGAGTAGATGATCTGTTTTAGTATTTTTGAGGGAGAATGTCCTAGAAGGGTCTCTAAATGATGCCCCCTGGGTACAGCTCAGAAATATAAAGAAAAGGGGTGATTACCTTGCTGGGATTGAACTACAGGCCTCTCTGCAGTCAGAGTGAGATGGAGGAGGAGATATTTGGCAAATCACAAAAGTGTGAGAGAAACAGGGCTACAGTTGTAGGCGACTTCAACTTTGCTAACATTAACTGGGAACACCTTAGTGTGTAGGAATTAAACAGGGTGGAATTTTTAATGTGCATCAGGATAGCTTTTTGTGCCAGTGCATAAATAGTGTTACTAGAGATGGGGCAGTGCTAGACCGAATCCTGTGAAATGGAGCTGGTCAAGTAGATGAAGATCTTTTCACCCAGCTCTGAAACCTGCATTTATCAGCTGCAATTTCCCAGCCACATAGTTATATTTTAAGAAACAAAGCATCAAAAAAAGTTTTTAAAATGGACCAGATGCTCAGGATTCAACTCTTTTTTTTTTTCTCCTGTTTCTCTCACATCTTTCTGTGATTTGCCTACATACCTGCTCCTCTAAGTCCCTCTGACCATTGAGAGGCCTGTAGTATAATCCCAGCAAGATAATCAGCTCTTTTTTTTTCATTCGAGTTCTACTCAGATGGCCTCATTTGAAGACGTCCTCTCTCATCATAACACTAAAACAGATCATCAGCTCATTATGACGTTGAGAGCTTGCTGTGCATAAGATTGACTGCCTCATTTCCCGCTTTACAACAGCAATTATACTTAAGAAGTTCCTCACTGTCTAACAATATTGTGATTTTTTTAAGAGGAAAATTGATGGTGTTTTAAAGAGGTGTTACCCATATTTGACACTGATCTGGATGCCTTTTACTTTCAGGTGGTGATTGGATGGGACAGCACTGGAGAGGCTTTGGAACAGTGGCAGGACATGAGTGCAAATCCAGAGAAGGTTGTTATCAAGTGGCATAACCTGAACCTCACCTGAGGTCACAGCATTTTGCTGAGCTGAGCACATCCCAACCAGACTCAAATTGCAAAAAAGTGGAACTCAGCGATGAACTGTGTCTTCATATCATGTGTTTTATAAAAAGATTCATTGGGAATATTAGCATAATGTTGCATTCTTGACTGTAAAGCTCTGGACTTTGTTGGCCACTGAACACTACTGGAAATTGAAACTTGTTGGAGGGCATTATGGGACAGGGTGTTTGAAAAGCATAGCCTGTGGAACAGTCTTCCTGCCTTGTGATGTGTGCCAGACTGTGTAATGTACAAAACCTAGTACTTAGCATTGTCTTCATCATTGTAACTTATGTCAATGTTATCTTTCTTCATTCATAACTCCACTTTAATAATAATAGACCATTGCAATAGTAGGATGTACTTCAGTGTATATAATAGGGAATGTCCACAGCTTCTAATTGTGTATTATATACCTACATATTGTAAATACAGGAACAAAAACAAAGTTGCTGGAAAAGCTCAGCAGGTCTGGCAGTATCTGTGAAGAAAAAAAATAGTTAATGTTTCGGGTCCGGTGACCCTTCTTCAATTCTGAGGAAGGGTCACCAGACCCGAAACGTTAACTCTTGTTTTTTTTCTTCACAGATGTTGCCAGACCTGCTGAGCTTTTCTAGTGACTTTGTTTTTGTTCCTGATTTACAGCATCCGCAGTTTTTTGGTTTTTGGTTTTATAAATAACCGTTTCAAAAACACGGAAATTTAGATAAGTTAGAGGCCCTCAATTTGTTACTTTAGCTTTAAAGTACAACTTGGGCGCAAATTGCATGATCCAGATATTCTACAGATCAAAACTTTGAAGTAATTTTTTTAATGAAGAATTAAAGGGATCCCAAGTTAGTCACAGATGATGAATTTCACTCTAAAGTGATGCTATCTGTGTGGCGTGGTATCTAGATAAAGACTCCAAATGGAAAATGAAGTATTTAATCTGAACGACACTCTATGCTCTTCATCACATGATTGAACTTTCTTATAAAATAGATACTTTCTCTGAAAACAAAGATAATCTTGTTAGGAAGATGGGCTTATTTGCTGCCAGCTGTTTTTTCCTGTTAAATATACTTGGCAGGTCAGAATTTGAACATCTGAAGTGATGGTTAATTTCTGGAATCAATGTGAAAGTGTGATGTATGTTTCTTTTTTTATTTTGTTTAACTGTTGAACTGGACCTTTGCCTTATATCTTCTTTGTTTTTAAATTCAAGCTGCTATCTACACACTGATATTGTGCTTGCCTAAGTATTACTCAAGATAAAGCACCTCGAGCATGTAAATGTGTGCATTTTTCCACACAGGCTGCTGAACCTTTTCCCCATGTATACCTGTGTAACTTGGGCAAGATGTATGTTCTTGGAATCTGGCTGTATCTTTGTGCAGTGTCCCAATATGGTGGGTGGTGGTGGGGGCTGGGGGGCTGGTGGGAAAACAGTATTCTACTGCCCATTTCCTAACCTGCTCAAAGTTCTGTTCACCCATCATCACTGTGCCCACTGACTAGGTTTGGATCCTGGTCCAGCAATGCCTCAGTTTTAAAACTTTAATTCTAGTTTTCAACTCTCTCCATTGCTTTACCCGTCACTATCTCTGTAACTTACTCCAGCCCCACGACTCTTGATGTATCTGTGCTTCTCTAATTCTGGTGTTTGTATCCTTATTTTAGTCACTCTGCCATGAATGGTTTACCTTCAGCCACCACAGTCTCAAGCATTGGAACTCCCTCCCCAAACCTTCGCACCTCCCTATGGCTTTGTCATCTTGTAAGGCTTTCCTTAAAACCTAACTGTTTGACTAAGCTTTTACCCATCATAAGACTGTAAGACATAGGAGCAGAAGTAGGCCGTTTTTCAGTCTGCTCTGGCATTCAATTAGATCATATCTGATCTGATAATCCTCAATTCCAGTTTCCTACCTTTTCCCATCCTTATCTCCTGAATGTTTCAATGTCAAATGCATTTTGATAATAGTCATGCGAATTGCCTGAGGAAGTTTTGTTACATTAAAAGTCATTGTATAAATACAAGTTACTCTTGTTATTCATGCACCAGGTTCCATTTCTGAGACCTGCCCAGTCCTAAATGCACACTTCACGATGAACCTACAGTGTGCAGTACTGGTCACTTTATTTGAGGAGGGATGTACACTGTTGGAAGTAGGTCAGAGAAGGTTTACCAGACTATTGACTGGAATGGGCTATATGCCTTGTAGGAAGGGTTGGACAGGTTAGGCTTGTAGCCACTGGAATTTTAAAAAGAGATGACTTGATCAAAACATATAAGATTCTAAGGAGTCCTGGAGAGGGTAAATGTAGACAGGATGTTTTTTCTTATGGGAGAATCTAGAACAAAGAGTCCTTATTTAAAGTTAAGATAAAATAGGGTTAAGATTATTTTCTCTGAGGGTTGTAAGTCTTTGGAACTCTGATCCAGAAAAGATGGCGGAAGTAGAGTCCTTGAATGTTTTTAATTTGGAATTGGTTAGATTCTTTTTAAGCAAGGGGGTGAAAGGTCATTGGGAGAAGCCTGGTATGTGGATCTGTGATCTTATTAAATCATGGAGCAGGCTCAAGGAGCTTCTTGTTCATATGTAGAGTTAATTAAATGCTGGGGTGTGTTTTCATGAGTAAGAAAGAAGAAATGGTCCCATTCTGAAATTAAAGTGGAATGCTCCTTACTCTCTAATTAGATATTGGGTGGTGTGTGGAATGTATAATAAAGGTGACAATTGTGTTTAATTCTTCTCATAATCCACCATAAGTTACTGACAGGCTACATCTGAATTTGTGCAAATTGTAATTTTTCAGTTTGCATGTGTGAGTCCAGTATGTGATTCATAACTTAAATTCATTTTATTTTCAAATGTAATATGTTTTGACTAAAAAATGCTTCAAACTGCATATTCATAGAATCCCTACAGTGTGGAAACAGGCCCTTCAGCCCAAAAGTCCACACCTACCCTCAGAATCCCACCCAACCCCATTCCCCAAACCTACCTAATCGACACATCCCTGAACACTGCGGGCAATTTAGCATGGCCAATCCACCTAGCCTGCATATCTTTGGACTGTGGGAGGAAACCCACACAGACACAGGGAGAATGTGCAATCTCCACACAGACAGTTGCCTGATGGGGAATCGAACCCAGGCCCCTGGCACTGTGAGCCACTGTGCCACTATATCTGCCTAATTAAGTTGGTCTTTGCACCAGACATGTACTATTTGGTACAATTGCAATTTTTCTGAGCATAATGACTAATAATGAATAAAACAAACACTAAGATAAAAGTTTTCTGTAACGATTTAATCTAATCCTGCATATTTCCAGGATACTGGATTCCTAGCACGGCCTACACTATTCAGCTCTATGTGGGGTCCTTGCTCTGAAAAATGATGCTTCAAAACTTTATTCTTTAACTATTATTGCACTTCTGCACGCTGTCCTTTTCTTGTAAATGTTTAGTCATCCAAATGTTTTAAAGGAGTTAATTGATTTGGGTGATAATGGCTTTGAAGGGGAGGCTGTTCAGAGTTGATAATGTTATATTCGTCCCCTTTGGTTCTGTAACCTTGTGCAGCTGTTATACGGTATTGTTTGTAAACTAAGAGTTTTTGTGGGCCCTCTTGCAGCATAGTGGTTGTATCTATTCCCCTGGACTGGGAGACCCAAGTTCAAGTCCTACCTGTTCCAGAGGTGTTTAATAACATCTCTGAAGGATTTCATTAAAGGGAAAAATTTGGTTAGTGAAATAAAATTCACATTCTGGTTCTGAACATTAACATCTAAAATATAAAAAAAACTAAGGACTCTTGGGGTGTAGTGGTATTTTCACTGTCCCTGGACCAGGAGTCCCAACTTCAAATCCCACCTGCTCCGGTGGTGTGTGATACCAACTCTGAAGGTGGTTGATTAGAAAATATAAAGTGAAAAAGAGCAAGGAACCAACTATTATGTGTAAACATTCCAAGGGGTCATGTGGTTGCCCTAGAGAGTCATGTTACCACGCAACTTGGCAAGCTTCATTAAATACAAAGTATATTTCATCCCCATAAAAATTTTCCTATGCTCATTCAATGGAAAATGATGGGAAACTTTTCACTTTATGATGCTGTCATCCCTCTCCAGGATCATTGATATAGTAAGATCTCCAGCTTGAATTGTTGCCTCATTTTGGATTGAGTATTGATGGAGATGTGTTAATGCACCATGGTGTTTCTGTGATTCCTAGTGTTGGTGGCTGGAATCACTGCTCTTTGATTCACTTTATTGTCTCGACACCACGTCTGTCTGTGCCACTAAACCTTCCTATCTAAGGAGGTCAATTTTTGATTATGAGATAACAGTGCGGAGCTGGATGAACACAGCAGGTCAGGCAACATCAGAGGAGCAGGAAAGCTGATGTTTCGGGCTGGTACCTTTCTTCAGAAGGGCCTTTCTGAAGAAGGGTCCTGACCCAAAACGTCAACTTTCCTGCTCGTCTGATGCTGCCTGGCCTGCTGTGTTCCTCCAGCTCCGCACTGTGTTATCTCTGACTCCAGCATCGGCAGTTCTTACTGTTTCCAATTTTTGATTATGCTGTGACTAGACAGGGTACATACTGGTGCGGATTGGGTGTGGTCAAGGATGAGTGATCTCTGTCGAGAAAGTGCTCACTATGCTGTCACCAGCTTTCTGAGCTAACCCGGGACTTCTGCTCTAATGCTGAAATGGTAACTTCTCCAAAAACCAAACTTTACTATTTCCCATGTATCAATACCAATGTTTGAAAAACAGTGAAGAAAACACACATGATATTGTGATGAGCAGCGCGTATAGCCCCATGCAGGTGTATAGTCTTCCCCATAGCACTTCCCAGAACCTCAATCCACCCAAAGCAATTTCCAGCCAATGGACATCTGAAATGCAGCCACTGTTGTAGGAAATATGACCATCAACTTAATGATGACCCAGAGCACTTTTCGGTGATTGCTGAAGCATTAATATTAGCCAAGGTTTGAGGAGAAACTCCCCCATTTCTCTTAAAAGTAGCACCATGTGATCTTTTATGTCCTCGTGAGAAAGCAGAAGGATCCTGTTTTAATTTTACATCTGAAATGGGACTCTTCTAACAGTGCAACATTCCCTCAGTAGAGTACTCTGGTCTCGATGTAATATCAGTTTCACAATTCATTTGCCATAAAAATAGGAAAGTTGTTTATTTCACTTGGGTTATGTGGAGAGTAATGGAAACCTGTATTACTAGTCTGGGTAACAATTATAGATTGAGTGATGGTGCTTTGGCTTTAGCTGAATTTCATTTGGGTTGTTGCTGATTGACTTTGCGTGACATGTGAACTCTAAGACTTCACCTTGCAGCACTTTAAACAGTACAGGGGGGAGAAAAAGATCTACATTGACCTTTCCCCGTGAAAACCACTGTGTCGAATTATTTAAAGGT